ACAGCTCTACACCATTTGTTAAAAAAAAAATTTTCACCTCATTTCCTTCGGTTGTTAGCAGCTACTTCATCCCTTGTGAGGATATTTGGCAGTGCAGGAGTCCACCCCCACACCATGATAGGTTGCCACCTGTGTAATAAGCGTTGGATGTAGGGGTGTAAAGCATGCTGCCACTGGACTCTAGAGCAGTGGAGACATGTTCTCTGGAGTGATAAATCATGCTTCTCTGGCAATCCAATGGACATGTCTGGGTTTGGCGGTTGCCAGGAGAATGGTACTTGCTTGACTGCATTGTGCCAAGTGTAAAGATTGATGGAGGTGGGATTATGGTGTGAGGTTGTTTTTTCAGGGTTTGGGCTTGGCCCCTTAGTTCCAGTGAAGGGAACTCTTAAGGCGTCAGCATACCAAAACATTTTGGACAATTTCATACTCCCTACTTTGTGGGAACAGTTGGGGGATGGCCCCTTCCTATTCCAACATGACTGCACACCAGTGCACAAAGCAAGGTCCATAAAGATATGGATGAGCATGTTTGGGGTGGAGGAACTTGAGTGGCTTGCACAGAGTCCTGACCTCAACACCTTTGGGATGAATTAGAGCAGAAACTGCGAGCCAGGCCTTCTCGTCTGACATCAGTGCCTGACCTCACAAATGCGCTTCTAAAAGAATGGTCAAGCATTCCCATAGACACACTCCTAAACCTTGTGGACAGCCTTCCCAGAAGAGTTGAAGCTGTTATAGCTGCAAAGGGTGGACCAACTCAATATTGAACCCTATGGACTAAGACTGGGATGCCATTAAAGTCCATGCGCGTGTAAAGGCAGGCGTCCCAATACTTTTGGTATTATAGTGTATGTAACATTTAGTATGTGGGTCATACCATCAGAAAGTTAGGAGAGGGGTTGAATGTCCATTTAGGTATCATAGCAAGTGGTATAAGAACTAATGTGTAGATACAGTATTTTGTTGACATACATACAGTAATTCTAATATACCATCATTAAAAATACAAGGCATGAAGAAGATGTTGAGGGCAGAACAAGGTTAAAAGGCAGCAAAATTAAAAGTCAGCAGCTACAAATACTGTAGCTACTGGCTTTTAATATAAAGGCACCTGTTCAGGGATCCAGCGCTGTTCTCCCCCGGGCTGATTTTTCAATCAGCTTCAGGTCCAGGCGCCTGCACCTTAACCAAGGGAAACCAGCAGTGAAGCCTTGCAGCTTCACAGCATGTTTCCCACTGTGCATGTGCAGGCCACACTGCGCTTTGTGAATGGTCCCTCAGTCTTCTGGGACCTTTCATATGTCCCAAAAGGCTGTAGGGGAAGGTGAGAGGGTTGAACTTCTGCTTGGATCACCGAGGCAATCCAACCAGAAGTGGGAGCGGGTACCTGTCAAAACCATGTACCCGCTCCCCCAAAAAGTTTCAAATGCTAAAGAAGAGTGGGGGAGAATGAAAACAAGCAAAATTTCCCCTTTTGGGTGAAGTACTGCTTTAAGGGCTCATGCACACACTGGATCAATGCAGGACATAGCTAGACCACATAGAAAACAAATGTGTTCTATCTATCATGTTCACACTGCAACACAGCTGGGCGGTTTGGTGAGCTATGGTAAAATATAATTGTAGCATTTTACCAGCTCACACAGGAAGGCATGATGTGTCACTCAACTACACTGCACTGTTGCAGGGACACTACACATGTCTGCAGAGACATGAATAATTGTAACTCATGACTCTTCAAATATAGTAAAAAAAAAAAAAAGGTTAACCATGTGATGTGCATCACCTCCCCTGCCCAACCGCAGCACATTGCAAGTAAAGACTGACAGCTGCCTACATGCTGAAATAATTGAGCATTTAGCCTGCAGGCAAATGAACAAGCCCTAACACATCATAATTCCAGCTAGTGTAAACCTTTAATGAAATGTTACTCATCATGTAAGCATGAGGAGTATATCGCTACACTGGATATGGTGCATATTTGTATTGTGTTGTCATTTTGGGCAGTACAACAGCTGAATAGTTAGCACTTCTGCCTGGCTGCACTAGGGTTGTCAGTTTGGATCCCAAGCACAGCACTACCTGCACAGAGTTTGCACGTTTTCCCTGTGCCTGTATGGGTTTCTTCCAGGTACCATAGTTTCCTCCCATGCTTGTTCCTTGTATACAGTGCAGCCAAAAAGTATTCACGTTTAACTTTTGCCACATTTTGTTGTTACAGCCTTATTCCAAAATGGATTAAATTGATTTTTTTCCTCAACAGTCTACAAATACCCCATAATGACAATGTTAAACAAGTTTGTTTTGAAATCTTTGCACTTGATTAAAAAGAAAAAAATTAAAAGAAAAAAGACATGAACATAAGTATTCACAGCCTTTGCCATGACACTCAAAATTTCCACAACTTGATTAGAGTCCACCTGTGGGAAATTCAGTTGATTGGACATGATTAGCAAAGGCATAAACCTGCCTATATAAGGTCTCACAGTTAGTATATGTCAGAGCACAAACCAAGCCATGAAGTCCAAGGAATTGTTCGTAGACTTCCGAGACAGGATTGTATCAAGGCACTGATCTGGGGAAGGGTACAGAAAAATTTCTGCAGCATTAAAGGTCCCAACGAGCACAGTGGCTTCTATCATCCATAAATAGAAGAAGTTTGGAACCACCAGGAATCTCTTGGCTGATGAAACAGAGATTGAACTCTTTGGCCTGAATGCCAAGCATCATGTCCGGAAGAAACCAGGCACCACTCACCACCTGGCCAATACCATCCCTACAGTGAAGCATGGTGGTGGCAGCATCATTCTGTGGGGATGTTTTTTCAGCGACCTGATGGAGCTTGAGAGGTACTGCAAAGAAGAATGGGAGAAATTGTCCAAAAATAGGTGTGCCAAGCTTGTAGCATCATACTCAAAACAAATTGAGGCTGTAAATGGTGCTAAAGGTGCTTCAACAAGGTATTGAGCAAAGGCTGTGAATATTTACGTACATGTGGGGTGGTTTTTTTTTTATTTTTTAAAAATTGCAGAGATTTCTAAACTAACTCTTTTCACGTTGTCATTATGGGGTATTGTTTGTAGAATGTTGGGCGAAAAAAAGAATTTAATCCATTTTGGAATAAGGCTGTAACATAATAAAATGTGGCATAAGTTAAGCGCTGTGAATATATTCAAATCAAAATCAGAGATTAATGATCTTGGGGACAGAGTTGACCATGTTGAAACAAGACTGGGAGAATACGCCACTTCCTTTAACACCCTAGTAGACGTCCACAACGAAAGGGATAAAGAGATTGAATGGCTCAAAAATAAAGTCGCAGATCTGAAGGATAGATCACAATGTAACAACATTAAAATAAGAGGCATTCCAGAATCGATACAACCGGACCAATTAAGATCATATACCCAAGAGCTCTTTCGTGCCCTCCTACCTGATGCTACAAACACAGATCTGACCATAGATAGAATACATCGCCTTCCAAAAGCCTCCTATCTGCCTGATAAACTACCTCAAGATGTCTTGATGAGAACTCATTTTTTTTCATGTCAAAGAAAAAATCATGGAAATTGCACTCAAACCCCAAAATTTGCCTCCGCAATTATCCTCTACAGCTTTTCACAGATTTATCTAAGTGCACCATGCAACTCAGGAAAAATCTCCTCCCAATAACAAAAGCTCTACAAAACCACAAAATTATTTATCGTTGGGGTCACCCCACTAAATTGATCATCAACAGAAATGACTCAATCACCACAATCAACATCCTGCAACGTAAAAAGCGACACACAACATTCTACCACCACCAGAGCATCTCCAGTGTGGAACCTGGTAACTCACAAATGGCAAACTAAAAACTGACTGTATATTTGCAATCTTATCTCATGGTCCCTGCTTAGATGTAATTTCACATGTTTAAGCAAGCCACTGAGGGTACTACCCTTACCGAACACACTACCTGTAAGTATGCCTGCCAAAGGCATTATCACTTGTTTTTTGCCCAAAAGTACTATGGAATTTTCATTGCGTTCGGATCTTGGCTAAGATCCTATTTTTTACTGATTTGTTATCTGTTCAGTTATCTGTATTTGTTTGTTTCCTTTTTGTTTCTACTATCGTGTAATTCCTGATAGTCTAAATGGTTTAACTGACATGCGCATAAAAATGTATTACCGCTTTAGGGGCCCCTTGGTTAACCCCGATTAATATCAGTAAATATATCTATTCAATGGGTAAAAAATTATCTCTATCAATGTCAATGGCTTGAATCACCCGGCCAAACGTACAAAAACATGTGGAAACAGGCATTTAAAGATAAATGTGATATACTCTGTGTTCAAGAGACTCATTTTGTAGATTCGGCCCCTCCTAAATGCTCACACAAAAAGTTTCCACATGTCTATACTGCCAATGCCTCTGAAAAAAACAAAGAGGACTACTCACTTCTATTAAAGATACACTAAACTTTGTTCTTCATAAAAATATCTCAGACCCCGAATGTCAGTACCTGATTCTTATACAGTATGTACTATAGATAATACAGATTACACTATTGTAAATTCATATGCACCTAATACTCCTCAAAAAAGATACTTTACCAAGCTCTTCCAACTAATCTATGTTACCACATCAACCATGGGCAATATAACGTGGTCAGACCATGCATCGGTTTCAGTTACTATTTCAAATAACCACTTATTGAAACCACACAACCTCTGGCGCGTAAATTCGTCCATTTATAAAAAATACTCAACACTAACTTGATACTTGAAAAACATATTGAGGAGTTGTTCCATATAAATCTGTATCAAACTCTGGCACCCTTTGGTGCACTCACAAAGCATATATATGTGGTATAATTTTACAAATGTGCGCTAAAGCTAAAAAGCAAAGAAATAAACAGCTTAAAGCGGAGTTCCACTCATCCTGTCGAAAAAAAAAGTCAGCAGCTACAAAAACTGTAGCTGCTAACTTTTAAAAAAACAGCCAGTTACCTGTCCCTCAGTTCCACGGTGTGTCCCCCACAGCCTGTTTCGCCGGCCGTCCTGTATTCCAGTAGGCCGGTATCTTCAGTGTGGGCACCCAGCTGTGATGGCTTGCACCTTCACAGCCGGGTACCCACTGCGCATGCGCGAGTAGCGCTGCGCTTCATAAATGGTCCTGTAGTCTTCTGGGACCTGTCACTTGTCCCAAATGACTACACGCAGGGAGGACACCTTCCATTTCCGTTCGCCTAGGTCAGTGGTGGGCAACCTTTTTTTTCAACTGAGCCAAATCTCGCCAAAACCACGATTGAAATTTATTTTGAGAGCCACATTTTTTAAAACTGAAAATACATCCCCCATATAGTAATTCATCCCCCATATAGTAATTCATCCCCCATAGTAATTCATCCCCCATATAGTAATTCATCCCCCATAGTAATTCATCCCCCATAGTAATTCATCCCCCATATAGTAATTCATCCCCCATATAGTAATTCATCCCCCATAGTAATTCATCCCCCATATAGTAATTCATCCCCCCTATAGTAATTCATCCCCCATATAGTAATTGATCCCCCATAGTAATTCATCCCCCATATAGTAATTCATCCCCCATAGTAATTCATCCCCCATATAGTAATTCATCCCCCATAGTAATTCATACCCCATATAGTAATTCATCCCCCATAGTAATTCATCCCCCATATAGTAATTCATCCCCCAGAGTAATTCATCCCCCATATAGTAATTCATCCCCCATAGTAATTAATCCCCCATATAGTAATTAATCCCCCATATAGTAATTCATCCCCCATATAGTAATTCATCCCCCCATAGTAATTCATCCCCCATATAGTAATTCATCCCCCCTATAGTAATTCATCCCCCCTATAGTAATTCATTCCCCATATTGTGTCAATTCACTTATCTTTGCTCCGCGCGTTCCTCTCGCCGTGTTCCCGCGCCGTTCCGGTCTTCAGGGCGGACTGTGAGAGGAGAGGAGTTCGTCACGCTGCCCCGCCTACATCCTGACAGCCAATGTTTGCCACGCTTCGCGGGCCGCATTAAAAGGTCCGCCGGGCCGTAGTTTGCCCATTGCTGGGCTAGCTGCAGAGTCCTGACTTTTGGGGGGCGGCCCCGCCCGAGAGGAGGGAGGGGAGCGGGTGCCCGTGCACACACAGAAGAGCCGCATTAAATTGTGTAAAGAGCCGCATGTGGCTCGCGAGCCGCGGCTTGCTGACCACTGGCCTAGGTGATCGGACCGGAAGTGGGAGCAGATACCTGTCAAATTTGGGTACCCGTTCCCCCCCGCCCCCCAAAGGTGCCAATCCTTAATGGGGAGCGGGGGAGCAGTACTTAAAGCGGAACTTCCCTTTTGGGTGGAGCTCCGCTTTAATGACTTACTACAGGATATTTGCAAACTAGAAACGCAAAATAAAGCTCAAGTTGATCAAACCACCTCGAATACACTCTCCAGACTAAGGAACAAATTACTCTCCTTACTAATGTACCAATTTGATAGAAGTATGCAATGATTAAAACTCAATTACTGCTCTAATGGAAACAAAGCAGGGAAATACCTAGTGAATAAAATGAAATCCCTGCATACTAGAACACCATATCTTAACCCAAAAGATAAAGCTAAAATCACAAATCCTCAAGAAATAGCAAATTCATTTGCTAGTTACTACGATTTGCTTTATAACCTAAATCAAGACAAATCCACTCTCCAACTATAGAAAATTATTTTCTATAGAAATCATACAAGCATTTTTATCACAAATTCGCTTACCCACTCTTTCGAAATCACAACTAAGTATCTGAAACTCCCCTATCAGAAGAAATTAAATAAACAGAACAATATAAAAACTATCCAATGGCAAAAGTCTGGGACAAGATGGATTTTCCAGCGAATACTATAACATTTTCACATTTCATCTAAACCAACTATACACTGACGTGTTTTCTTCCACCTCATTACCTTCCAAAATGCTACATGAACTATCTTGGTCTGACAGACTGGCCCTTTAAAGTGTTCATATTGCCACAGATTGTATACCTATTTAGATCAATTCCAATCCCAATTAAATCTAAGTATCTAACAAAACTACAATCCATGCTTAAAAAATACATCTGGAGAAATATGAGACCTAGATGCTCACATAATATATGAATCAAACACAAAAAAATAGGAGAAATGGGATTTGTTGACATTAGGGATTATCACAAAGAATCATTATTAGACCAACTTAAACATTGGTTTATAGTGGAAATGATACAAAATGGGGTGACATTGAAAAAAAAAACTCTAGCCTTTACTACAGATTTAAGCGCCATATTACTAGCGAGCTCGTGGCAAAGGATTCCCACTAGTAAAACAACACCAACTGTACGAGCCTCAATTAAAGCCTGGAAATCCTTAAGCTCTATGTCTATAGATCCTCTCTGAATAAGTCCTATTCCTATACCTTTTGTAGTAGCAACTTTGGGAATACCAGGTAAAACTCCGGACACTAACTTGAGGAAAACAAATTTTTTATTAATCAGCGTGGAGTGACCCAGCAAGGGCTAATTCAAGCAAGCTAAGTGGCTTGAAAAACATCTCACAGGGTATACATATTAGCAATTACGTCACAATTCATAGATCTTCTCTTTCACTTTCTGTACATTCAAAAGACTTTCTAAACAGTGCAGAATATGACATTGTGGTTTCACAGATAGAAAAACTCTCTTCAGCTAAAAATAAGGGTACCAGGTGCAGATTGGAACACATTGTTACACAGGATATAAGGGAGGGGGGAAGTGAGCTGATGACCTTGTTGTTGCAAAGAAAGGCTGTTAGAAATGTTAAAGTTTAAAGGGGAACTCTGCAATACTTGGGTGCTGCCACACTATAAACAGCCTTAGAAGTCGTAATGCCTAGCATAGATATCTCGAATTGGAGACATAATGACATATGCACAATACAAGATATTTGTTTAAACGACATTAAAAATTGTGAATTTCTTATGAAAGAATTTAACCTCCTCCCTTCTGAAAAATCAACCTATACACGCATTAGGCGTTGCCTATCGAAACATCCAGTAAAAACAATATATATACCAAAAGTATCTTTACAGTTCTATAGCTCCGCTACTCCTAAATCAGGAGGTATAACCCTATTTTATAACCTTCTACAATGTAAATCAGAATTTAATAAGACTACTCCCTTAATCAAGAGGGGAAAAGACTTAGAGACTGAAATCTCTAATGAGCAGTGGGAATGTGCATTCGAGAATGTGTTTTCAGCTACTAGATGTGTTAACCTTTGGGAGCTAACGCACAAACTTTCCATAAGATAGTATCTAACTCCTTACCAAATGGTCAAATTCTCAGAACAACATAGTCCTCAATGCTGGAGAAACTGCGGTCAGATTGGTACTCTATTACATATGTTATGGACATGTAAAAATATTGGAAGCTAATGGTAAAAGTTTTACACATGATATCAGAAATTGCTGGGATATGAAAACAACGAGATCCTACCCTAGCCATTCTGAATATAAATATAGACACATATCCAATCCATTTTTGACTCTTAGTGACACATATTCTTCTAGTATCAAGACTTACCATTACAAGACACTGGAAAAAAGACTTAGCCCTTCTCTAAAAGAAGTCATTGAGCTAGTCCAGACCCACGTCATCTATGAGAAACCTTTAGCTTACCTAAACAATAGAATTACTAAACTTGACAAAGCTTGGAAACCCTGGTCCGACTGGTTCAGAACTGTAACCTAAGATATTATTATGTTTAACCTTTTTTTGGATACTCTAAAATTATTACTTTGTGGAACTAGTAGGACTGTTAGGAATTATTCAATATTTCCTTTTTTTTCTTTGTTAAACTTTACCGCAACACCTATACTGTGATATTGTGTAGCTTTTCACTGTATTATTTTAGTTTTTGGTTTTTTTTTTGTTGTAACTGTATTTGTAAAACCAAATAAAAATGTATTATGGAAAAAAAAAGAATGGATATTGTAGTAGGCTGTAAGTCGCATGCGCGCTGGCGACGGCTCACGCCGGGACACAGGCACCAGGTCCCGGCGAGCCGGGGATGACAGGACGCCGCGCATGCGCAGTGGAAGCCGCGGGCGCACCTCGGGCGGCCAATGACAGCCCGGGGGCGCATCCTGGGCGGCCAATGACAGTGCAGGGCGCACTATTTAAAGATGCCCTGCACTGTCAGTAATTGCCGCAAGGTCTTTCTGTGATTCCGAGTTCCTGCACCCGTCTAGTGACCCTGTTTGACCCTGACTACGCTGCCTGCCCCTGTGATTGACCCGGATTGCCCTGACTACGCTGCCTGCTCCTGTGATTGACCCGGATTGCCCTGACTACTCTGCCTGCTCCTGTGATTGACCCGGATTGCCCTGACCATTCTACGGACTGACTTACCCTGCTGACCCTGCGTGTGACCCGACTACTCTTTGCCCGCCGATTCTGTACCTCGCTTACCCCCACGGGACCACGATCCGTTACTACCCTGCTGGGGCCGCCATCCGCTTCACATCTGGCTCTCCGGTACCTGCATACGTCCCCGGAGGTCTCCTCAGCCACTGGTGGGCCTGCTCAGAGGTCGTGACCTGGTCCGGGACTGTTTCAAGTCCATCCCCACCATCAGGGGCCCTGGTGAAAGCACAGCCCGGGCTTAGACCCCACGCTCTGGGTAGGTCTGTCAGTTGGCAGCCTGAGGCACCACCTGGCGGATCATAACAGTACCTTGCGGCCATGACAGAGCCAGGAAGTGGACCGGCGTCCCTAGAGGATATTTGCCAGCACCTGGCAACTTTGACCCAGGCTTTCCAGAATTTCCACAGTCGCTGCGCCCGACTGGAGGACCGCATGGAGTCGTTAGCCCCCCTGACTCCCCCTGCTCAGAGTCCTCCATCTGCAGAACCTCCCGCTGCCCCGGCATCCGGAGCGGTTGCCACATCCCTAGCTCCTGAACCCGTGTTCCCCTGCCGGAGCGATTCCGTGGTGACCGGAGCCGCTTCCGAGCCTTCCGGAACGCTTGCACCCTGTATTTCGACTTGCAGCCCCGCACGTTCACCACCGAGACCGTCAAGGTGGGGTTTATAGTCTCTCTCCTTCAGGATGAGCCCCAGGATTGGGCTCACCGCCTGATGGAGAAGCACGACCCCCATCTTGACTCCGTGACCGAGTTCTTTCAGGCCATGGCTGTTTTGTATGACGACCCTCAGCGGGCTGCTTCCGCAGAGGCTACCCTATACTCTCTACGGCAAGGCCGCCGCGGACAGCCGAAGAATACGCGTCCGATTTTAGGCGTTGCATGGGAGACACCAGATGGAACGATGCGGCCTTATGTCACCAGTTCCGCATCGGGCTATCTGAGTCTCTCAAAGACGAACTGGCACGAGTAGGCCTACCTGACTCCCTGGAAAAACTGATTGAGTTAGCCATTCAAATTGACCGTAGACTAAGGGAACGTCGGCTGGAAAGGAGCAGCCAGGGTCAAAGGGTGGCATGGATTCCACCAAGGGACACAGCTCCAGCCCCAGGGAGCCATCTGCGAAGCACGGAATCAGGGGACAACCCGGAACCCATGCAACTGGGACTGGCCCGTTCCCACTTATCGGTCGAGGAACGTCAGAGGAGACGATCACAGAACCTATGTCTGTACTGCGGGGAAGCTGGTCACCAGGTGCGCTCCTGTCCTGCAAAAATGAGTAAGTCCACGTCCTTTTCTTTTACTTTACCTGCAGGAAGGGATGATCAGTCAAGTTACCTGGCCATACCTGTGTCTTTACAGCTCCCCGGAGGAACATTGTCGGTGACCGCAATCGTTGACTCAGGAGCCTGTAGTTGTTTTATCGATCTGACTTTTGCCCACCGGCAAAAAAATCCCTCTCCAGACCAAAGAAAGGGGGTCAACATCTTCTTGGCAGATGGGTCCAGTATAAAATCAGGGGTGTGGACCAGGAGACACCACCCATTTTCACCACAATGGCAGACCATCACCAGGAGTTCCTCCGTTTGGATGCCATCGCATCTCCCCTTTTTCCAGTCATTCTGGGGCTCCCTTGGCTGCGGGCCCATAACCCCCAGATTGACTGGGAAAAGGGAACCATTCAATTTCGGTCACCTTACTGTTTGAGTCACTGCCACGTCACAGGATCCGTGGTTCCCCGGTTCCTCCTGTGCTTGGATGGCGACACCAATCTATCCCAGGTTATTCCTCCGGCTACCATGACTTCTTAGACGTGTTCAGTAAGTGAGGAGCTGACATTCTTCCTCCGCACCGTTCCTACGATTGCCCCATAGACCTCCTACCCGAGTCTGAGATCTCGTTCGGCCGTATCTTTCCTTTGTCTGAAACGGAATCGGG